TCTGCGGCACAGCTCAGCATGACTCACAAACTGCAGGCTAGCATTCGGAATGTCACTTTTATTGATCTCCATTTGATGTTCCATTTGCCTTTCCAGGAGTAGACAAACTATGTTTATAGCATTTCCCTAATAGCAGACCTTGAAAATCTGAGTTTGAATGAGCTCTGAAAAAAAAATATAACCAAATGAATTATCAACTAAACAAAACTATCTGAATGCACATAAATTAATGCTGATTTTAGCATTAAAATATATCTTCTCTAAGACTTCAGGGATCATGAAAAAGATGCCAACATACTACATAATAGAATACATAACAGGCAGCTAAAAATTGTAAAAGAAGTCAAGTCTCAGGCACAAAAATATAAACCAGTCAGCTGAACACATATGAAATATAAAGCATGGTTCAAAGAGTAAAATTAGGAAAATGATTATCAAATCCTATATTGTGGAACTTAGAAGTCTGTGCAGCACTGCCAGCTCCATAATAAAAATCAAGTAACAAGGGTCGATTTATCTTAATAACTACAATTGTTCTTTTCTAACAATTTCAAAACTAAATCAATGCAAAGCTAATGCTATGTCACAGTAACAGATAAAAAGTTTGCTTTATAGAATAGGTATAATGTTTAAATGCATTTTAACACTTTCAAATATAGTTACTTAATAAGATAACACAAATGAGTTGTATAAAATTAAATTAGAAAACAATTATAATCTCAAGTAATAGTGTGTCATCCTTAGGTCCATTACACACAAGAATAACTTGCTAGCCTCAAACTGAAGACACACCAAAAGAATAAGCAATTAATAGCACAGAACAGGTAATTTAATAAGCTTTGGTTTTAGAAAGGCAACATTTTTAATTTTGAAGAATGACTAATTTCAAACTTTTCACTCTGTAGCAAGCAAATAAGAAAGCATAAGAGCATCAGCTATAAAGTGATGCAGTAAAATCAATGACACTACACTTCAAAAAGTGTAAACTTTTACCAATCCTCCAAAACCTATTTAAATACCATATCCTTAAACTGAATCAGTTAGTGAAAGCACAAGTAATCTGTAAAGCTTCACCTTTCACAGTACCAAGTTTTTTCTGAGAGTACTGGAAACACAGTACATTCCTCTTTGCACTGTATTATTTTTAAATATATCTCAACTCCATTATTACTAGCATTTTAATTTCTTTTTGAGTCCTCAACAATGAATGAATAAATGACTAAATGGATGGAAGGATAGATAAATGGACAGAGGCCTGGGAAACAAAATCTGAGGTTTTGGATCACAGATGATTTAAGACAAGCTCTCAAAAATCAGCACTAGAACAGATGAAATTACAGCCCCCAAGAAATAACCTTTTGAAGAAATTTTAATATTTTCATATTCCAGCCAGTGTTTTTATTTCTAATTATCATGAAATATGCATTTCAAAAATTGTTCAGTATCAAAAACCATACTCTGGCAGTACAAAGATTTGCACAGTGGTTTAGCTCCAGGCTAAAATCTTATTATGTAAGGAAAGAAGATCATCTATTTTCTTATGGAGTTTAACTGAATCACCAATATTCTTATGCAATAACATGAAATACATGCTTATTAGCTAAAAGTGATATGGTAGCGTACAAAACTAAGTACACATTATGACCACAACCCTTTTGCACAGGAAAAAAGCCAGGAGGAAGTACTAGAAAATGACCAAAGTGATGGCTTCAAAGGGAAAAGCCATGATGATGCGTCCCTACTTTCTACTTTCTGCATTTATTCTATCTCATTATGATAACCTCATAATAATACCTCTCTATATAACTTTGTTTTACAGCCTTAAGTCTCCTTAAATTACTACACATCATATATTAATTACTATCTGCTTATATGCTTAAAAATACCACTTCAGAATTGGAGAGGCATAAGTTTGAGTCACCACTCAGTCATTCTAGTAGTATGAAGTTGATGAGGTTAACTTAACTTCTCCAAGCCTCAATTTTCATCTAAGTAAACCACACTGGGAAGGATTAAATAGTATCTCATGGAGCAGGAAACAGCAACTCACTTCAGTATTCTTGCCTGGAGAATCCCATGGACAGAGGAGCCTGGTGGGCTACAGTCCTTGGGGTCACAAAGAGTTGGACACAACTGAGTGATTTTCACTTCACTTCACATCACATGGAAAACACCTCACATAATGCCTGGCTCAGTGGTTCCCAATTTTCATTAATTCTCCTTTCAACATTTTTTGTTGCTGATTTAATGCCCATAAATTAAGTAGATATCAAGTTAATTCCCATAAATTAAGTAGATATCTCAGTACTGTAGTGCTAAGGGGCAATCAAGTTATCTTAAAAAAAGTCACCTCCATCAAAGGACTTTAAAATCTATTAAAAGCTCAGGAAGGAGAGTGTGGCCAGGCGGCTCGGACTGAGCAGGGTTTTCCTTGCCAGTGAATCATGTAGAGTACACTGCCAGTCTCTTGTCTTCTCTTCACCATGGCTTCTTCTGATATCCAGGTGAAGGGACTGGAGAAGCGTACCTCAGGCCAGGCTTTTGAGCTGATTCTCAGCCCTCGATCAAAAGAATCTGTCCCAGAATTTCCCCTTTCCCCTCCTAAGAAGGATCTTTCCCTGGAGGAAATTCAGAAGAAATTAGGAGGTGCAGAAGAAAGACGCAAGTCCCATGAAGCTGAGGTCTTGAAGCAGCTTGCTGAGAAACGGGAGCATGAGAAAGAAGTGCTTCAGAAAGCGATAAAGGAGAACAACACCTTTAGTAAACTGGCAGAAGAGAAGGTGACCCACAAGATGGAAGCCAGCAAAGAGAACCAGGAGGCACAAATGCCTGCCAAACTGGAGCGTTTGCGAGAGAAGGACAAGCACATTGAAGAAGTGCGGAAGACAAAGTATCCAAAGACCCTGTTGACGAGACTGAAGCCGACTAATTTGATCTGAGAACTGACTTTCTCCCCCTCCCCCTCCTAAATATCCAAAGACTGTACTGGCTGGTGTCATTTTATTTTTGCCCTCCTGACAAATATTCTAGAAGCTGATGTGGGACTGTATAGGTAGATCTAGACGGTATGATGTTGTTCTAGGGACTAAAGGGGAGAAACGAAAGGTGTTTTACTCTTTTTCTAAAGTGTAGAAGTCTTTCTAATGTAGCTATTTTTCTTGTTGCATCTTTTCTACCTCAGTACACCTGGTGTGCTGGGTTAATGGCTAGTACTGTATTGGCTCCGTGAAAACATGTCTGTGAAAAGAATATGTAGTGGCTTCTTTCAAATTGTTAGATGCTGAATATCTGTTCACTTTTAAATCCCAATTCTGTCCCAATCTTATAGACGCTACTGTACTTGAATGGTTAATAAAGCTGCACAGTGCTGTTAAAAAAAAAAAAACTCAGGAAGACATTTTTAACAGATCCCAGTATCCTTTCCACTTAACCTAGACAAGACTTCAGAATCCTTCTCAACACAGCAGCCCAGGTAACCAGAAGGAGCTGTCATGAGAGTGAAAACCTGTTTGTCATCAGCAACCCAGACTAGAGGCTTCTTAAGAAGCTTCCCCCAGCACATAGAGCACGATGCCTACCACAAAGGAAAGGGGTGAGTTTTCTTCACAGGTTTACCAATAAATTAAATCTGTGACTCAATTCCAGTTAACCCAATAAAACATTTTAAAAATGCAGATTTTTAAAGACAGATGTTGTAGCTTTAAAAAAATTTTTTTAGTTCTTTTATTAATACTATTTTAAGAAAGAAGATTACAGTAAATCTTCATGAAACTGGATTTGGCAATGATTCTTAACTATGATAACAAAAGCACACGCAACAACAACAAAAAAAATTGAAAGATGAGACCCTCTGATACACTCTTGTGGTAAAGAATCCCCCTGCCAATGCAAGAGACACAAAGGATTCAGGTTCAATCCCTGGGTTGTGAAGATTCCCTGGAGTAATATATGGCAACCCACTCCAATATTCTTTCCCAAGAATCCCATGGACAGAGAAGCCTGGTGGGCTACAGTCCATGCGGTCACAAAGTGTCAGACACAACTAAGTACATGCATGCACACACACACATCTAGAACATATAAAGAACTCCTGCAATTCAACAACAAAAAGAGTAATGATCTTGTTAAAGTAGACAAAGGACTTCTTTCTCCAAGAAGATACATAAATGGCCAAAATGCATATGAAAAGATGGTCAACATCATTAATATAGAAGGAAACAAAAATCAAAATCATAATGACATACCACTACACAAATGCTAGGATGGCTATCCTAGCAAAAAATAATACTAATACACATTAGCAAGGACATGCAGAAATTGGAACCCTTCTACATTGCTGACGGGGATGTAAAACAGTGCAGCTACTGTAGAAAACAGGTTGGCAATTTCTCAAAAAACAGTATTATCATATGATCCAGTAATTCTACTCCTATGGATATATACAAAAGAAATGAAAACAGGGACTCAAACTATTTATACACCAACATGCATTGACTATTACATACAATGGCCAAAAGGTGGAAACATCTGGGTGTCCACTGATGAATAGACAAGATGTGGTACACATATACAAAGGAATATCATTCAGCCATAAAAAGGATGAAGTTTTGATACATGCTACAACATGGATGAGCCTTGAAAACACTACTCTAAGTGAAATAAGCCAGACACACAGGACAAATATGGATGATTCCACTTATCTGAAGTACCTAGAATGGTCAAATTCATAGAAACAAAAAGTAGATTAGAGGTTATCACAGACTGGAGGAAGGTGCAATGGAGAGTTATTACTTGACAGTGACAGAATTTCTGTTTGGGGTGATGAAACACAGTGGTGATGGTTACACAACACTGCTAATATAATTATCGCCACTGAATTGGCAAATGTTAAATATGCATTTTACCACAACAAAAATACACTAATTACTTAAAGTAAACTTAAAGGCACAGAGAAAAAATCAACAATGGGATAATAAATTAAAAGTGACACCCATCAGTACCTTTCCACACACTGAGATCGGGATAAAGGAGGCTGACAGCTTCGGTTATGGGCTTCCCGGGCAGCAAGTCTGGCTCCTGACAACTGAAAGATAGTGCAAAACCCACTTAGTAAATCATCAAACTGGCTATCATGCTAGAAAAAGTGGTATCATATTCGAACACCAAGAAGCCAGAAACTCAGGCAGCTCAAAGCTGTAAACAAGCATTCATTTCAGGGAGAAACAAAAGACATTAACCTTGTGAAACTCTAGAGCAGCTTCAAACAGTAAACAACGTACTGAAGCACTGAGAGATTAATTCACACATGGTGATCTTAACAAGTCTACAAAAGAGTGGCACACAGACTGTTCTCCAATAAACCTAACAAAACTGAAAACTTCCTAGTCAAAACTTTCAGAAACTTGAATTGGCGCTGAGCCAAGAGGATACCAAGCTCATAACTGTATCTCTAAGTGCCTTTGTCAGCCATCCAGTAGCTGGAAAAAGGATGTTTGATGTAAATGCTTCCCAAAAAGGATTTTTCTAAAACACTTCCAGGAATGATCATGACCTGCATTCTTCAGGAAGAAATCTATATTTGCAAACTCAATACCTCAGGAAGTTTTAAAGGGAATTCATTCTTTGAGACAGTAGTTTAAGACATCAGAGTAGTCAGAGTTAAGTTCAAGGTAAATATAAACTCCAATCTCTGGACCAAAAAACATGGTATCTTCATCTCTTAAGAGGTTTATCTCATACGTTCTTAACAAAATGTCACACACATTAAAAATAAATAAATATATCCAAAAAGTTGATATACCTTTTCATCTTCCCATTGAAAAAAATTACAATCTTTTCTATCTCTACAAGCTGAGCAGGCATAAAACCTCCGTGTTTCTTCTTTCCCTTGGTTCACCTTTACAAACAGAAGAGTAGGTCCTAGTTCCATAATAAAAAAAAAAATGTCAGACAGTCATCGATATCAAGTCTCTAGTTTTCACCGACCTTAAATAAAATCTGTTTTAGTTTTATGCACAGGCTGTAATAATTAAATGCAATACTTTGATAATTTTTTTTTTAACCAAAAGTCACAACATTCAGGCACTGACTACTTAGGAAACATATTTTGAAAACCAGTCTCTCCAGAAGGAAAATGCTAGTGTCAGTACAGTTGGAATCCACATGGTGAACCGTCTAGGTCCTGACACAACAACAGAGTTCGAACAACTGAGCACTTTGTTACCTCCGCTCAGTTATCTTTCCAGTGAAACTCTTAGCTTTCAGATTTGGACATAGTCTCTCTCCGCGAGTTAAACACTGGGTCTGGTTACTAAGCAAGAATTCATGATTTCGTGCCTCCCTAACTTTTTTTAACTAAAAATAAAGGAAATCAACAAATGAAATATCCAAATACTTGGCAGTGGGAATTAATAACATACATCCTTTGTGCCTAGACTCTGCCTCGTCCCTTCAAAAAAGATGTAACGGCTTTGAAGCCAAAACCACAACAGGAGGGCTTCTTTTAAGGTTTCTTAAGTAAGTGGAAAAGCACAACTTCCCGAGGAAGGAGCGTTTTTTAGAACCTTACTCAGTGGGAGAGAGAGGCAGATAAAAATTCGGGAGCCCTAAATGCCCCTGGCGCCCTCAGGATAACCACGCCCCTTGGCGCCCGACAGCCAGGCTGAGCCCAGACGCGGACGCACCGTGAGGGCACAGCGGGGCGGGGGTGGCGGGATCAGAAGAAAGCACCACCTCGACTCCCGAGTATCCCTGGCAACTCGAGCTCTCCTCTGCCTCCACGGCTCCAAGCCGGTCCCTGCAGGTCGCCATCTTCCCACCGCCGTCCCGAAAGCCTCAGTCCGGACCAAAGAGGCTGAGAAAGAGCGCCTCTTGGACCTGCAGCGACTTTAGCGCGCCCCCACGCTGCTAGGAGGAACTTCGGCCGCTGGAGCAGAGGTCATGCCCCTAAACCCTGTCCCTTGCGAGCTAAGAGGTCCCTCTCCTGGGATTGAGTGGGAGACGGGATGGATTGACAGGCAACTTGTTGGACCCTGTGCAGTAAACGCACCTATTTTCTGCCTCAGCCTTAGTACCTTAGGATCTGTGAGTACCCTCCTTGCCTAAAAATAAAGCCAGGAGATGAAATGATTCTTGGGCTTCCCGTGTGGCTCAGCTGGTAAAGAATCGCCTGCAACGGGGGAGACTTGGGTTCTGTCCCGGGATTGCAAAAATCCCCTGGAGAAGGGAAAGGCTACCAAATCCAGTATTCTGGCCTAGAGAATTCCATAGACTATATAGTCCATGGAGTCGCAAAGAGTTGGACACGACTGAACGACTTCCACTCTTACATTCTGTGAAGGTTATGACCACAGATGACTCTTAGCAGTGCAGCAAAGATTTGGTCTGGTTATAAATCCAAAAGGCAGCATCACCACCACCACCAGCCACGACTGATAAAAATAGCTGAAGACTCAACTTAGTAAAGATGTCAGTTATCCCCATATTCAGAGCATATCTTGGTCAGATGTTTGTAGATTTGGATAATATTATTCTGAAATTTATAAGGAAATGTGAGAAAACTAGAATAGCCTAAAGAATTTTTAAAAATAATAAAGTAGGAGAAATTAGTCTACCCAATTTCAAGACTTATTGTGTAACTGCAGTAAACACATGAATGGTTATAGATGAAACAGTCAATATCTATAGTATGTAATATATACACACAGCTCCACCCATCAACAGGAAATTGAATTAAAGATTTACTGAGCATGGCCCCGCCCACCAGAAAAAGACCCTCTGTCAGTCTATCCCATCAGGAAGCTTCCATAAGCCTCTTATCCTTCTCCATCAGAGGGCAGACAGACTGAAAACCACAATCACAGAAAACTAATCAAACTGATCACATGCACCACAGCCATGTCTAACTCAATGAAACTATGAGTCTTGCTGTGTAGGGCCAACCAAGACAGACAGGTCATGGCGGAGAGTTCTGAAAAATGTGGTCCACTGGAGCAGGGAAAGGCAAACCACTTCAGGATTCTTGCCTTGAGACCCCATGGACAGTATGAAAAGGCAGAAAGATAGGACACTGAAAGATGAGCGCCCCAGGTCAGTAGGTGCCCAATATGCTACTGGAGATCAGTGGAGAAATAACTCCAGAAAGAATGAAGAGATGGAGCCAAAGCAAAAACAACACCCAGTTGTGGATGCAACTGGTGATGGAAGTAAGGTCCAATGCTGTAAAAAGCAATATTGCATAGGAACCTGGAATGTTAGGTCCATGAATCAAGGCAAATTGGAAGTGGTCAAACAGGAGATGGCAAGAGTGAACGTTGATATTTTAGAAATCAGTGAACTAAAGTGGGCTGAAATGGGTGAATTTCACCCAGATGACCATTATATCTACTACTGTGGGCAAGAAACCCTTAGAAGAAATGGAGTTGCAATCACAGTCAACAAAAGAGTCTGAAATGCAGTACTTGGATGCAATCTCAAAAACAGCAATGAGTTTGTAATGGACAGTGAGGCCTGGTGTGCTGCAGTCCATGGGGTTCCAAAGAGTCTGACACAACTGAGCGACTGAACTGAACTGATATTATGTAAAAAAAAAATGATGTTACTCATACATATTTTGACTCACCCATTTAATACTAGGGTATATTAATCTAGAAATACTGCTCTTTTCCTGCACTTTTTATGCAGTAGTTTCACTCAGATCTTCACCTGCACCTGTAGTAGCTGGTCTTCGACCTAACATTACCCCTTTTCAAGTTCTCGAGCACGGATTTCTGGAGCACATTATCTGCACTTCTATGTCTCCAGTTAGGAAAATTTCAGGATCTGCTGTTGATGGTACTTTTGGATGCATCTCAAGCCTTAGTTATCCATTCACATTAGCAGTAACACTTCTATTTTTTAAGTTTTGGCTTATAGGTACATATCTGTAATCTTTAAAAGGCTTGTTTGCAAAATTTGCGATTGAATTCATGAAATCATATCACCAGAAATAATTACCATTTTTCTGGAGGGGTTAATAAATATGTTCTCAAACGCTGGACTCTGCCTCTTTAAGTGCCTCCCAGGGTTGCTTCTACTCTCCTTTTGGAGACTGCACCTTTGTCTGCACCAGGTCTGAGTTGCAACACATGGGATCTTAGTTCCCCAGCCAGGGGTAGAACCTGGGCCCCCTGCATCGGGAGCATGGAATCTTAGCCACTGGACCACCAGGGAAGTCCCCTGATTCTATATTTTCTTATTCTTTCTTAAATAATTGTGATTCCATGAGATAACCTGTAAAAACACCCCAAATCAGTCTGGATTTTCAGCCTTTACAGGAAAGATTCCCCAAGCAGTAAAAATATAATAAAAATTGATCCAAATAAAGTAAATGAAAGCACATCCCTTCATATGAGAGAAATTGAAGTTTCCAAAAATAACATGGATCTGAAGGTGAATTCCTCTTTTCTGGGGGATAATTTTGGAGAGAAAAAAAGTCTCCCACTGTATTCAGATATATATGTTAAATATGTATAGATGGGGAGACAATGGAAACAGTGACAGACTTTATTTTCTTGGGCTCCAAAATCACTGGAGATGGTGACTGCAGCCATGAAATTAAAAGACTCTTGCTCCTTGGAAGGAAAGCTATGACAAACCTAGACAGCGTATTAAAAAGCAGAGACATCGCTTTGCTGACAAAAGTCCGTCTAGTCAAAGCTGTGGTTTTTCCAGTAATCATGTATGGATGTAAGTGTTGGACGATAAAGAAGGCTGAGTGCCAAAGAATGGATGCTTTTGAACTGTGGTTTTGGGAAGACTCTTAAGAGTCCCTTGGACTTCAAGGAGATCAAACCAGTCAATCCTACAGGAAATCAACCCTGGAAATTCATCGGAAGGACTGATGCTGAAGCTGAAGCTTCAATACTTTGGCCATCTGATGTGAAGAGCCGACTCATTAGAAAAGACCTTGATGCTAGGAAAGATTGAAGGCCAGAGGAGAAGGGGCTGACAGAGGACGAGGTGGTTGAGTGACATACAGACTCAATGGACATAAGTTTGAGCAAACTCCAGGAGATGGTGAAGGACAGGGAAGCCTAGCATGCTGCAGCCCATGGCGTCACAAAGAGTCAGACATGACTGAGCAACTGAACAACAAAATGTTAAATAGCATATGTTGGTTCTTTGCTGGAGAGGCCATGCATATGAGCATTAATTTATGAATATTTCATGTTATTGTTTCATAATATTTTTAGTTTATACACAAAAATCCTTGAGCAGAGAACAGCTAGGAGTCTTAGCAGGACTCTGAGACAGACCCTTGTCATACTTCCATCTCAGAGCATGATCTTTAATGCTGCTAAGAGACGCTTGATTTTGGTACTCCACCCCAAACAGAGGACAAACTGGTGATCTTCCTATGGACATCAGAAAGTCTTACACCTTGACTTTCTGGATAAAAGCCCTGAGTCCCCAAATCTCCTGCAGAAAAGATGGGGGAAGCATTTGGTAGTGGCTCTCCGACTGTCTTCTCTGCCTTCTCTAACAGAATTCCAGTTTCCTTTGGGAAAACAACCATCCTCAGTTTCAGCCCAGTGCAGTTTTTTTTTTTTTTTTTTGGCTGTGCTAAGTCTTTGAAGCAGCGTTCAGGTTCTTCACTGCAGCCCGCAGGCTTCTCTAGTTGAGGCATCTGGGCTTAGTTGCCCCATAGCCTGTGGGATCTTAGTTCCCCAACCAGGGACCAAACCTGCATCCCCTGCACTGGAAGGCAGATTCTTAACCACTTTTACCAGGGAAGTCCTTAGCCCATTGTAGTCTGAGAGTACAAAGAACCATATAGACTGGCTTGGGTTTGGGCAGATGACTTGGAGCTTCTGCTGGAATGCCTGTAAAAAAAGCTGTTACAGGTCCATTTTGTCATCTCAGAGATTTCTCGTAGCAGAGGGGTTCAGCTCTCCAATCTTACCTAAGCTAAGTCATTGTCTAGGTGATCTACATCCACCTTGACAAGAATAACTCAGCTCTTCTCCATGTGTGCCCCAGCCTCCTACTGTAACCAGCTGGCCAGCTTGGGCACATTTTTCTCATGAGAATAACAGAAACACAATAGAGCTAGGAGAAACAGACAAGCTTCTTAAGGCTTAGGCTTGGAGCTGCACTGTCACTTCTATCTCCTTCTTTGGGCTCAAGCAGGTCATGGGGTCAAACATTAAAGTTACAAGGCAAAGGGAATAGGTCACAAAGGGCTGAAGAACTGGAGGCAATGACACAGTCTGCCACAAAAGCAGTCTTCGCTGGGGCAACCAAGTGTCTGGTGGTACTGTTTCCAACCACTCCCAAGTGGCGCTAGTGGCCGGTACTCCACAACAAGAGAAGCCGCCACAATGCAAAACCTAAGCGCCATAACTAGAGAATAGCCCCCACTCAACTGCAACAGGAGAAAGCCTGAGCAGCAGTGAAGACCTAGCACAACCAAAAATAAAGAAATAAATAAAATTATTTTATAAAGAAAAAGAAGAAAGCATGTACACCTGACAGCTACATTATCATGTAACAGTGTGGTCATGCCAAGCACTTACATGTGAAATATATACTCTATTGTAAGTAACTGTCCTTTTAAAACATTTTGTGCACTTTATTTTATTAAAAATTAGGTGTTTAGTTAGATTGCCTTATTTATGAATTTCATTTTGAGGGAGTCAAGGGGGTCGGCAAAGTATTTTTTATGAAAAGAGGACAAAGGGGAAAGGTTGGGACCATCCATAGAGGTAATCCAATGCATACAGCTCAGCCTGGTGAGGGTAGGTCACTGAACCACACAGAGCCCCCTTCGAATCCTGCTCCACCATTCACAAATTAATTATGCCACCG